TAAATTTTGTTTGTATGTATGTATTTTTGTGTCGGTGTGTCTCTATTTTATTTTTATTTTTTTTTTACCTTTCTTAAATTTAGATAAATATATTTTTGTATGAATATAATAAATAGTAGAATATTTTTGCCTACGTAATGTATTTTTTTTTTCCTCAAAAGTTCTTGCTAAGCCCCCCCCAAACCTCAAGATTCTAGCTCCGCCCCTGCCAAAAGAGACCCCCACAGTTATACATATACACTTAGGTTATGTTTGGCATGTATGTGTAGGGGTTCTTTTTTATTCATACAATAAACAAGTGTATGAGGATGATATCAAAGATACGAGTGTGAAGGAAACAGAAAAGATGTTTGGTGAAGGAAGAGAAGAAAACCAATCTTCAAGATTAAGATGGTAGTAGAGCAAATATACAGTATTTATGACAGCTCTTTTCTGGTATGTTATTCTTTCATGCGAAAGTGTTATTTATAGGTCTGGATTACGCTGATCATTAACCAACGGTCCCTTGCATGTTTGGCTCCTAACCAGGATCACATAGGGTAGTCTTGGTGAACCTAAGAGCCTAAAAGGTCCAATCCTGTCATCTAGCCATGCACTACGTTGCTATGTTGCTTCTCCCCCATTTTAGGCATTAAATGTTGCTTGGCCGTCAGTTGATCAAGCCTCATATAGCATTAAATGTGATTTTAAGGTTTGCTGTCATAATGTATATAATCCCATCATCTAGTTGATTGGGCCTTACTGGGAACGAAGATGCTTCTTTACTTCTCATCCACTAATCCAAGATTCCTTTAAGTTTCCCAAGTTCTAAATCCCACATGGCTGTGAAGGCCCTACCTTTATTTTGTGCCATGACTAGACCTATGACGTTTTGCAAGCAAGCTCTCTGAGGCTCTAGTGTTTCGAGATATTATGAGGGCCCAGAAGAACCTTTGTGTTCGGCCTTCAAGTGTTGTTAGTTTGCTCAGATTCTTAAGGCTTTATCGACCTAGTTTCATGTCGAGGTTTGAGTTAATTGAGGGTTAGTTCTTCGAAGCTCAGTAGGCTTGGTGCGATGCCGGGGCTTGAGAAGCTTGCAGGTTAAGCCCTCGAGACTTGGTAGGCCCGGTGCGATGCTAGGGCTTGTAGTGCTCGAGGGTTGAACCTTCGAGGCTTGGTGGGCCTGGTACGATGCCAGGGTTTGTAGTGCTCGAGGGTTGAACCATCGAGGCTTGGTGGGCCTGATGCAATGCCAGGGCTTGTAATACTCGAGAGTTGAACCCTCGAGGCTTGGTAGGCCTCGTGCGATGCCAAGGCTTGTAGTGCTCGAGGGTTGGACCTTCGAGGCTTGGTGGGCTTGGTACGATACCAGGGTTTCGAGTGCTCGAGGGTTAAGTCTCCGAGGCTTGGTGGGCTTGGTTCGATGTCAGGGCTTGTAGTGCTGCAGGGTTGAACCCTTGAGGCTTGGTGGGCCTGGTGCAGTGCTAGGGTTTAGAGTGCTCGAGGGTTAAGTCCTAGAGGCTTGGTGGGCCTAGCATGGTGCCAGGACTTGGGGCGCTCACGGGTTAAGCCGTCAAGGCTTGGTGGACTTAGTGCGGTGCCAGGGCTTGCAGTGTTTAAAGGTTAAACCTCCGAGACTTGGTGCATTGCCAGGGCTTGAGGTGCTCGAGAGTTAAACCCTCAAGGCTTGGTAGGCCTGGTGTAGCTCTTTGACTTTTCAACTTGCCACGAGATCTTAGTTAGGGGATTGTGTTGACTTATCAACGCATCATGTTAGCATTCGATAAGTGACGCCCACAATATTTAATCTTCTTCTTCTTCTTTTTATTTTTATTTTTAACTTACTCTTGATGTACCATCTGACCACCTTCCATTAATCACAAATCCTAACAAACATTAGAAGTGAAATGAAAAAAATGAGTTAAGTTTTAAACTCCGTTTTAATCATCTAAATTTTTTTTTGAAAGATAAAGAACAGCGATAAAGATGAGTCTCGATATAAAAGATACTCTCTCATAATTTTTCAAAAAGGACATTTATTTTGGACAGATGGAGTATAATGTTTCATCAAACTCAATATTTAGCATTTGATTTGTTCTTTATTCGATAGGACCTCGGAAATAAAAAGGAAAATAAGAAGGAAAATCTTTTTCATTCCTTTGCTAAGACTATTTTGAAATTAAAATTGGAAATTTGAAATTAGAAAAAAGAATTCAGAAAATTGAATCAATTTTTTTTCTAATTCTATTAATTCTAATTCTAATATTTTAATTTCATACCGCCAAACACAGTTTCATAGTATTCATGTCCTGTATTCCATTTCATACCACCAAACACAATTTCACAGTATTCATGTCTTGTATTCCCCCCCCTCCCCCCCCTAAATTTACAATATCAACTTATTACGTATTATTTTATTTTAATTCACATAGAGTCATAAGAAAAGTAAGAGCGAATACAAAAATAAAAGTACAAAAATAATAAAATTTAAATCAAATAGAATGAAAATGAAAGGAACAAATGTGAGAGGGGACACTCATTTAAAAAAGAAATCATTCGTGTGTCGCTCAAGCACCGTGGAACACTGGTGAGAGAATTTAGGTCCATTTTGTGTTTAACTTCCACAAAAAGGAAAAAAATAGGAGTAAAAAAACATGGGTCGCTCAAAGAAATTGTGTGGATAGGGAATGACTAGGGACAAGTAGGGCTACTTCACTGTACTTTGGAGATGTGCACGAGAGGGTGGACAGGATTTGGTCTAAACGGCGGCGTATTTATCTTTCCTTTCATGATCATTATTTTATTGTATTATATTCGGTATCTATAGTATATTGAGTCCGAATATGTATCAATAATATATTGAGTCATCCATTTCGAATATGGCTGAATTCACTGAATTTTAAAACTTGAACTTGAACTTTGAGATTTGAGTTCCGCTCTATTTTTATTTATTTATTTATTTTTGTTGTCTTTGAGTGACTTATTAGGTCATAATACGAAAGTATCTTTTTAAATCTTTCAAAATTAGTTTAATGATCTTAAGAATTCGCGCCACTCCAAATATCAGGTTAACTGAAAAAAAAAACATAATATATTGAGTCATTGACGGACCAAATGAAAGGAAAAGATGGATTGGTTTTAGATGGAATATGACCAAGTACCGATGTCCCGACAGCCTCCACGTGGTCTGACAGCTCCTCTCATTTGAATTGACCTGTTGACCTCACGTGACATGTGCTCCCGCACGTGACAATGGGATTGGCATGGCACAGTCTTATCTCTCGTTCTAGCAAGAACTACTAGAAACTTCCTCGGATCACAGACTTTCAGTGGGCATGACTATAGATGTATTATGTATGTAACTGATCAAAACATGTTGGATCCGTCGGGCAATTTTAGTGGGTCCCAATATTTATCAAGAGGACTCGTGGCGTTATTGCCATACTTACCCACAAACCATGTTGTTCATGAGAATACCATATTAGCTTGGGCATATAGTTTCACACTGCTTTTCCATTAAAAAAAAAAAAGAAAAAAAAAGAAAAAAAAAGAAAATTATTCAAATCATTACTGTCTCCATTAATTGTCGATTTTGGTTTTCTAACTAACTAAAATAGAAATTTTTTTAAAAAGTTAGAAGAATAATTATAAAAATATTACATTTATTTTATTTAAAATTTTAAAATAAACAATTAATTTGGAGGACAAAAGTTATTAAATGAGTTTCATATAGGTGTCATATTATACTATTTCAAGAGGCATATTAAAAAGACATAGCAATTTGAACACTATTTATTATCAGTGGCAAGTTGGAGAGTCAAATTAACCATCCGATCAACAATCTGAAGAAGGTATTTCTCAACTCATCAAATCCTAATATCTGAAGAAGGTATTTCTCAACTCATCAAACCCTAACATCTTATTAAGTTATTAAATCTCGAGAGAACAATCCTAAAGTCATTAATCAAATGAATAAAAATTCACCAAGTATAAATTTAACTTCAAATCTCAATAAAGATTCATGTGCGTAAGTTTACATTACTATAATCACTTGAAAAAAAGGGTTATTTTACTATTCAATATATATATATATATATATATATATATATCTCCCTATAGTCATTAAATCAAGAGGTCCAAGGGCTATAATATCATCTCGCATTAAAAGAAGAAAACAAGGGCTTGTAAATATCACCCTCAAAGTAAGCATTAAAAAGAAGAAAACAAGAATCATTAACGCAGTGGCACTTAAGATCTATCGCATATACAATACATCCCTGTCTCTACTAATATTCTCACTTGGTGTTTTGCTTGACTTCCTTCACCTAGATCTTATCCCTAACTCCCTCACATTGTCATCATTTATATGCTTTTTATATTGTAAAATTGAAAAGAACTTCACAACAAAAAATATAAATCAAAACAGGAATCAAACAGATCCGTACTGAATACATATGAGAATATCAATTATTTTTTATTCACTTTACTTGTTTATTGATATTCACTATTAATTGCATATTAGAAGCTTACTAGGTTAGTATTCACTTTCCATCTAATTCATCTTCACTGTTAATAACTGTCGAATCAAGCAGGTAGAAGGGGGAAAAGCTACATATGTATCCCAAAGGCGCGTGACATCAAAGCTAGCTATGAGCCCCACTCTTCCCACTTGGACACTAGTTACTTCTCCGTCAAATGCGTGTTTTTTAGACCGTTGAATTAGCACATCTTGTTTGTTCAAAGCATAGAACAATATTTGGGTGGACAAATGTTAAAATTAAATATATTACCAAATAGTGAGTGAGAATTAGGAAAAAAGAGATTCAAATTTAAATAAAAAAACTTAAAATTCACTACATCACCACTCGAACAACACAGCCGTATCTCTCCATATATATATATATATATATATATATATTGTATATATGAATTGAGTAACTCACTCCTTGATTTTGTGCTTTAATAAACGGGCTTTTTACCGTTTATTACAACACTTCCTTAGAACATATACTCCGTACTAGAGTAGAACTTCACAGTGAAAACTTGTTTGCGAATTTTCTTTGACTGACAAGTTCTGTACATGTCTCCTTTTTTTGGTTAGAAACTATGGAGTAGTTCTTCTTTTAGTTCATTCTCACCTCGATATATATATATATATATAAATACACATATATTTTTATTTTATCTATTATTTTGACGTGGGTACGTTCGTAAGTGATGCCTCTTCTTTGATATGAGGGTTTAACAAAATTTCACACATCTTTGTTGGTCCGAACAGATCGGATCAGAAGCTGTACCTGAGCACTCAACTACTCTCCGGTTATGATTATTAGATCACTTAATTTCTATATTATAGAGAGAGATTAAAATTGTCATAGATCGATCGATCGATCAAGAGAAGAAGATCAAAGCAGAAATTAGATGTGGCGATGGAAGGCTATGAAGGAGGCTCAGAATCTCGCTACGTTCGTCAACTCCTCCTCGGACCCCGTCAACTGCACTTGCAACACCAAACAACAACACAATTACCATCGGATTCCAACGAATCTCCGGCGGCCGACAACAACAATGATGCTGCCACCGCCAGCTCCGGCGGAGCAGCCACCTCTTCCCGCCGTTCCAGAGGCCGTCCTGCCGGCTCCAAGAACAAGCCCAAGCCTCCTATAATTGTCACTAGAGACAGCCCCAATTCGCTCCGATCTCATGTACTCGAGGTCTCAGCCGGAGCAGACATTGTGGACAGCGTGTCCAATTATGCCAGGCGGAGGGGAAGAGGAGTGTGTGTTCTCAGCGGAGGTGGCACCGTGGCCAATGTCACGCTCCGCCAGCCGGCTGCTCCTGCCGGGAGCGTTGTCACGCTGCACGGCCGCTTCGACATTGTTTCACTCTCCGGAACCGTGCTTCCACCGCCAGCACCACCAGGGGCTGGTGGGCTGTCGATATTTTTAGCAGGGGGACAGGGACAGGTGGTTGGAGGGAGTGTGGTGGGTCCGTTGGTGGCTTCCGGTCCGGTGGTTCTGATGGCTGCATCTTTTGCAAATGCGGTGTTCGAACGTTTACCGTTGGAGGTGGAGGAGGAGGAAGAGGAGGGGGCTGTTCAGGTGCAACCTGCAGCGTCCCCATCTTCGAGTGTGACCGTAGGTGGTGGTGGTGGTGGTGGTGGAAGCGGCGGTGGAGCTAGCAGTAGCGGTGTTCCTTTCTTTAATATGGCAGCAAACATGCCTAATTATCCCTTTTCAGGTGATTTGTTAGGATGGGGTAATACTGGAAGTGCTACAAGGCCTCCATTTTAATGGTGCATGTGATTAATTCTGAGTTATTATGGTTTTGAGTGATCATAATATATAGGCCATGAGATTTAATGTGATGAAGAAGGAGGTCATGAGTGGAAATTTACAAAATTAAGCATGGTCTTTACTGTGATAGATTTATATTGGCCTTTTGGAGGAGCTAGGTACATGCAAAGAAAGTTATGTTAAAAGCTGAAGTTATAATCTTATGAATTAGGGAAGATTTTACAATTGAAGGAGTAACATTGGACGGTACTAAATGTGGAGCCAAAGGGTTTAAGGAGTAAATTAAGACATCTCAAGGTAAGTTACAAGTTCAACTTGATGTGTATAGACCATTTGTACTTTCCCCTTAATTTCCCTCTTTAATTTCTTTACTTCTTTTCTTTTTTTCACTTAGTTTTGTTTGTAATAGAAGTTTTGTGGATAATGTTGTGATCATGCACAAATGTTCTTTAGGGTTTTTATTTCCATCTTCCCATATCTTGTGCATTACCTCCATCATATATGTGTTTCCTTTTGATCGAATACAATAGTAAGTTTAATCTGTGAGTCGTTGTGCGGAAGTTAGCAGTTTATTAAGGTGGGGGTGGGGATGTCAGAGAATCACCTCCAGTATCACAGTAACTAGTTTTCTCCCTTTTTTTTAAATAAGGGACTGAGAAAGTATCACATCAATTAAAAATACTGAATTACTAATTTTTCACCGACATTCTTTAAGTTGTATATATAAACTTTAAACATTAATTTTAAAATATGGTAAAAGTTATTAAAGGTGGGTTCGGTTTAATATTATTTAACTTTCAATTTTGTATTCTACGTCATCTTCCTCCCTCTCTTTGGTTTTTGGTATTTTATTTTGGGGCTACTCGTCTTCCTCTCTCTACTTGATCATTGTTTTTTATTTTCGGGGTTTTAGTGAAATTCATGTGATTATCGTCAAATTTGTTCCCTTTGTCTGAATAACTATTGGCTAAATCCAAATTCATGTTGTTTACGTGTGATAACAATCAATTTTTTTTCACTTTGTCTAAAATTTGTTGGTTCATTGATTTATAATTCATGTGTTGGTGTTCTTATCTCTATCTATTCGGGTTTGTTCCTGATCCTTCTCCTTCTTAATTACGTATTCCAATTACTTTCTTTAGTATGATTTGTTGGGATTGTACTTATAACATAAGCATGAAACAAACTACGTACTAATTGGGATTTTGTTAAGTAAGATTTTGTTGGGATTGTATGTATAACATAACATGAAATAAACTACGTACCACTTAGTAGGTTATAATTTGAACTAGTGTTTCTCCCATTAGAGAATGATTATATTGGGATATCGCGTACAACTTATGTCGACTTAAATTACAAATTGCTTGGGATGTTAAATATACACAAATAATTAAACAAAAAAATTATGTCAGTCCCAAACATAATTGAAATTGCTCTGCAAATCTTTGTATCTAAGATTAAACCCAAACAATTTACTCATGGACCAAACAAATAAATAGATGATTAATTTCGTTTTTCTGGCCGGGTATTGTCCACTTATCTCCCTTCCTTATTAGTAATTTTTTTTTTTTCTTTTTCTGCCATTGATTTCTTTCAAAAAATTATACGATTTGTTTGGAAATAAATATAAAACTTGAAAATAATACTTGCTGGTTTCTGTGCTCCAATGTTGCAAAATACTTGTTGGTTTCTATGCTTTAATGTTGCTCTATTAATTTGGAATAAAATGAAAGTATACGAAGAAAGGGAAGGAGAAATTTATAAAAACAAAGGAATGGAAATAGAGCTATGATTCATTTTGGAAACAAATCAAAATATGTTTATTTTGGTAGAGAAGAAAGTAAAGTAGACAATATTTTTAATTTCAGATGAGTTGCTGACAAATTTGGAACAGAGGGAAGAGAAACGTCGTATATATATACATGTATATAAATAAAATACAAAAGTTTTTCCTTCCAAAATTTTTACTATTCATTTACTCCACTAGAGGAACTAGATGCACTATGCAACTGGGGAGAATCTTGATCTGGGGGGTTTGGGTTTAAATAGGTCAACTTGCCCCAATTTTTTTAATTTACCCACAAATATGATTAATCGGGGGGTGATTAATTAAACTTCCACAACTACAAAAATAAATATTGTGAAGTAAAGTTTGAGAGATGATATTATGATTTTTAGCGAGGAAACCAATCGGAAAATTTTGAAATTTTTGAGTTATCTCGAGAGTAAACGATCCACTATATTTGAAACAAAATATATCGTACTTTGACTTGGGCTCAAACCCCTTTATTCTACCAAAACCCAACTTGACGAACACTCCTAGCTTTGCGACCTCCCATTCAACAGCTTTCGACTTTAGACTTACTCCTTGAACCTTGTAGAAGGATTTCTAGTAGATAAACAACACTCCACGAATGCCTTGACTCCTTTAAAGTGTGATCGAAACACCTCTCTTCTTCAAGTATGAATTTTATGTGAAAGGTAGATAAAATCCCTCTTTTCAGAATTTCTGATTCTTCAATCATAGTCCAATTCTGATCAAATAGAAAAGAACTCCTAAATCACTCTTGTGTTTATGTGTGTGCTCTAAAAAATAAAATCAAAAAAATCAAATTTATTTCTGAAAAATCTATCTCAAATTCTCTGTCAAAATACTTGAAAAATTACGTTCCCAAAAGCCGTACTAATTTTAGAGTAAAAGAGCGAATATATAGATTTTTTGAAGACCTAAAAATACTTGAAAAATAAGTCAATTTCGTGCATGATCATTATTTCAAAAATCTGTTCAAAATAGAAAGCCAAAACATACCAGGAATTAAAGTTGCCTTCTTGGTTTGTAGAATTTGAACTGGGTCAAAGGGGCTAGAGTGGTTCAAGTTGGCTAGAAGCAAAATTTTGAAAACCAACTTTGAAAGTTGAACTGGTTCAAAGCGGCTGAATCGGTTCACATTGACCCATTTAGAAATCCTTTAAGAGGCGTTTAAAGGTTGAACCAGTTCAGAGTCTCTGAACCAGTTCAAATTAGGCGGAATGGAAAAGAACACTTATAAGAATTTTTTTTCCCTAAAAGCCTAATTTTGAAACCATGCAAGTTTTCTCACACACTCACTTACCTTCCTAATGCGTTGTTCTCATCATCACGGAGTGTCTTAAAGTATGAACACGATCACTTCTTTAATTTTGCTTCCGATCTTGAGTCTTGACAAATCGAACCAAAAATTTATAACTTGATCAGACTCATTTTGACAACGAAATTTGCCAAATTATAAATTTGTATTTCACAATCTCCCCCTTTGGCAATTTTATAACAAAACCCTTAAGATAACATGTAATCTACCTAAGTAGGACAAGCAAATACAATGATTGCCCAAAAGTTAAAAAAACCGAACTCTTCTTGAACCATATGAAACTCCATCACTTGTAGTTTTTAAAACCTGTAATCTTCATATAGCTTAACAAAATTACCCGTGAATCTTAATCAAGAAAGATAAACACAAGCATAAAATAGCAATCAAAGCTAAATTAGCCAAAAGTCAATGCAATGATCATGTGTTATTCCCCTCAATGCAAAATATCTCTCCTCCTAAATGATAAAGCTCTAAAATCTCTCCCCCTTTTTGTCAAAAATTGACAAGGGATTCAAAGAAGAAATAAACTAGGAGGAGGAAACAAACAACCATATTGAATTCACTAAGAATATAAACTCTACAAGACTATGTGAGCAAAACAAATATAACTACAATCAATTCCTTATAGTTCCACAAACTTAATAAGTGTAGTAAAGTCACCACCAAGTTCCAAAAATAAATAATCTGCCAATTGTTTAGATTTCAGACAATAAAACAATAACATCACATATCTTTAGAAATCAAACAATCAACATATGCAAAAGACCCTTTTTTTCTTCTTCTTCTCTTTTTGCTCCATTTTTCTTTTTGCACATATATCGCGGCTTTCACGCTTATGGGCAACTAGTTATTTCCCTTATTCCCATTTTTTTTAGAGTCAAGGTAGTTACGAACAAATCCCAAAGATAGCCTTTTTCCATTTCTCATCATTTTTTTCAAAAAACAAAATTTTTGGAAAAACGTTTTTTTTTTCTTCCAAGCTTCTGTTTTTTATTTTTATTTAATCTAAAAACACATAAAACAAGCTTAACTTCCAAGACAATGTATCTAATCATGTCAACATCATCTTTGACCAAAATAATGACATTAAAAATAAGTAAATGTACTATCAACGACTCATTTACTATACAAAATAAATAAGCGAAATCAATTTCATCAATTTATAATTATAGTATGTCCTACAAAGATAATCCATGTGTCATTAAACTCCTTGTGTTCAACAAACTCATTCAATATGGTTTGCTTGACTACCAAAAAAAAAAACTAAGCTAAAAGCATAATCTAGACACCCAAGATATGTATAAAGGTTCTATCTAGATTATGTTTATGCAATGCATGCTAATCAAGACAACAAATGCCTATTGATGAACTAAGAGGAGGGGGGGGGGGGGGGGGGGGAGTTGAATTGGTTATTGTATAAACTTTTCTTATTTGTTTGATCAATACAATGTGACAAGAATAATGACAGATTCAATAAGCTTACACACACTTATAAGTACTTAATGTATTTACAAGGAAAACCTTCTCAATAGGGAGAAACCATGGTTCTTGACCTCAACTAATAAAATCTCCACTAGTTGTATGCAAGTAGTTACATACTCAACTATCTCATTCCCTGTACACACCCTTATACAAGATGAACACTAGCTTTCACAACCTTTACACACACACTAGCATCTCTAAGTGCACTCTGCACTCCCGTTATCCTAAGTAACCCTACTTGGACCCTGCAAGCTCTCACAACTCACCAAATATATATAAAAGGATGCATTACAACAATACTCACAATACTCAAGCTATTACATAAGATAAGAACGAATAACCAACTCAAAGTATCAATACAAACACCTTGCAATCATTCTGCTGAAACTAGGGTTTGAGGAGTAAAATAGGAATCTCGTGTCCCACTGTTGGACCAAAAGGGTGGGTGAATTTGTAACGACCTAGTCATTTGCATTCCTTTCCTTTTTCCTGAAATTTTACGAATGAAATTTTTTCGTTTAATTTTCTTTTCTGAGCTCTATTTTGTGTCGCTTAGCGTCATCTCAAGTACTCGGAATTGGTTCCTGAGACTCTTTTCTGTGGATTGACAACTTCCTTTGAGGACCGAATCATTTTCACATTTTTTGTTTTTCGACACTATTCATTTTTCGTCATTTTCCCTATTTCGTCATTTTCCCTATTTTGTCTTTTCCCCGTTTGACACTTTGTTGGCGTAACCACACTTCTTGTGTTTGGAGTTGGTTTTTGACTTCATGTATCTCCATATTGAGTGGTTTCCATGAAATACGTATCTTTACTTTTGCAAGAAAGTACTCTGGTTGCTCCCGGTGTCCATAGGGGCATG